ATAACATCGAATCAAAAGCTGAAATATCCCGAGAAACTGTTTTACAAAATTTTGATTTAATGAGAAATAATGGAAAATTTTCAATATTACTTCTAACCTTTATTCGAAAATGGTAGTATAAGAGACATTTAAAAATTATAGCATAAGCACAAGTACTTAAACTGCAGTTTACAAAAAAAAAGGGGATTTGGTCATAGTGAGCAATAAAATAGGGTAAAATTTTACCCTCTTACTGTGGGTACCCGCAATACTTACCCGCAGTGGGAGAGTAAAATTTTACCCACAGTAAGAGGGATGGAAAGAGTCAATGAGGGTATCCGCAATACATACCCGACGTGGGAGGATAAAATTTTACCCACAGTAAGAGGGATAAAAAGAGTATAGGAATATGTTCATAGCGAGCAATAAAATAGAGTGAAATTTTACCCACGGTAAGAGGGTAAAATTTTCCGGTTTATATTCAATTTTTGGGCCTCTAACAAGCCTGTAATACAGCACCTATAAAATATTGTTTTCAAATCCCATTGAATAATTAATGAATTACATTCAAACTGAAATCAACAATTCGTGTCTCAGTTAAATTTAAAATTGTATTACTGTAACATGCAATTCAGAGTATCGTCTATTTGGCAAAAAAATTGCATTAATATTAAATTTAAAACCTCCAAATTGTGTTCATTTTTTATATTCATTAAAATCAATAATTAATTATTAAAATGTAAATTAGTAATTTAATCATCAAAAAAAAATATTCAAACATACTTGTACAAACCAAAGTATTTTTACAATTAATTAATAAAATGTTAAAAAATTTAAGTTAAATAAAGAAAAAAACTGTGTAAAATTTAGTAAATGCTTTAAATTAATTAAAATATACAAAATGGATATGGTTGAGAAATTATTTATGTATAGTCTATTTACATTTTTATGTTAAATTAAATACGTAATATACCATCATATGACCGTGTGTCATATTATGCTATATCTAGTTATATTATGCTATCTAGTTATATAGGGTCTTTTTAAAAATTATTATAATTAACGTATATGAGAAATAGTACATCATTTGAATGTCATCATGAACATTTTTGCAGACTGTTATACGAAACATCATGCTCAAACATCATCACATGGAGCGCAACAATCTCGTTTTGAATGTTATGTTTTAGCACATACTCAATATCAGGCCTTCGTAGGTTAACCTACAATGGCCTTTAGAAATATCGATCAAATAATGTTCGAATAAATGCACAGAAATTTGTTGTAAAAAAATTCAATTAAATTCCTTTGATTTTTTTTTTATCAAGAAAAATAGTAAGTATAACAAAAAAAGAGAAAAGGCAAAAATCGCATATAAAATAAAACGGTAGATACGCGTAAAATGAACTCTTCTTCTTCTTACTATAATAACTGTTTTTTCTTTCATCTTATTATTTTGTTTTTTTTTGTAAGTCTCTTTTCTTCTAACACTTAATCATAATTTTGCAGTATAACAGAATTTTTATCTTAAGAATCTATTCTTTCTTGTTTTCTTTATTTTTTTTTGTCTTTTTTCTTAATTGGTTTTATCGTCCAATTCTCGATTATACACAAGTAATGATACAAGAAAAATTCTATACATTTTGTTTATGTTTTTTGTAATATGAAAGAAAAGGCAAAGTTTTGCAAGAGAAAGAAAGCAAAGAACAAGAATAACAAGAAAAGCAAAATAAATAAAAAAGTATAACTTTTATACTTTAAAATCGCAATGTTTTTTTTTTAATTTTACCTTTCTAAAAATTAACAAAAAACACGTTCTCATTATTATATATACAACTGTTATATACGTACGACTATGAGTTTGTACACATATTTTATAATACCGGCTTACATACATTTTTTTTTTTTTGAATTCAGTTCATTTACTTATTTGTATACCAGTTCTTGCAAATATATAAGAATTATTCTTTAAAGCAGTTATTAAACGTAAATATTTACTTGTATAACACATAGTATTTATATGTACTTATATCAGAGTCACATACGCTTTCAATAATATTTTAATACTCCAATAATAACAATAAAAAAAAATAAAATTCTTAAAATTTTCTTGTTTTTTTCTTTTTATACCCTGCACTTCGTGAAGGGTATATTAACTTTGGTATGGAGTTTGTAACTACTTGAAGGAGTCACCTGCGGTATGGACATATATATATATTCTTGCTCAGCGTAAAATTCTGCGTCGATTTAGACATGTCCGTCCGTCCGTCCGTCCGTCCGTCCGTCCGTCCGTCCGTCCGATCGCACGATAACTCAAAAACGAATAATGCAATCGACACCAAACTTTCACAAGTTGCTTCTTTTGTGCCAAGGACGAACCCTATTGTTATTGGACCAATTCGGACAACGGGTTCGGGTAGCTGCCATACAACTTAAAGAGTTTATTTTAATTATTTCAAAAACTAATAAAGGTACAAATGTAAAATTTTGTATACATGTGTCCAATTATATTCTACATATGGTCTAAAAATTCTAATGAGATAGCTGCACCGGTTCGGGTGGCTGCCATACAACTCCAAAAGCAAATTTTTTATAATCGGCAAAATAATAAAGTCAGATTCATGAAACTTGGCAGTCGTGTGTCCAATTATAGGTCAAAGATATTTCTGAAGTTTTTGTGGAATTGCTTGACAGGTTCGAGTAGCTCCCATACAAGTCCAAAAGCTTACTTTAAATATTTGGAAAAATAACGAAGTTAGATTCATGAAACTTGGCAGTTGTGTGTCCAATTATAGATCAGATATACCTGTGAAGTTTTAGTGGAATTGCTTGACAGGTTCGGGTACCTGCCATACAACTCCAAAAGCTAAGTTTAAATATTTGGAAAAATAATAAAGTCAAATTCATGAAACTTGGCAGTTGTGTGTCCAATTATAGATCAGATATATTTGCGAAGTTTTAGTGGAATTGCTTGGCAGGTTCGGGTACCTGCCATACAACTCCAAAAGCTAATTTTAAATATTTGGAAAAATAATAAAGCCAGATTCATAAAACTTGGCAGTTGTGTGTCCAATTATAGGTCAAAGACATTTTTGAAGTTTTGGTGAAATTGCTTGACAGGTTCGAGTGGCTCCCATACAAGTCCAAAAGCTTATTTTAAATATTTGGAAAAGTAATAAAGTTAGATTCATGAAACTTGGCAGTTGTGTGTCCAATTATAGATCAGATATATTAGCGAAGTTTTAGTGGAATTGCTTGGCAGGTTTGGGTACCTGCCATACAACTCCAAAAGCTAATTTTAAATATTTGGAAAAAAAATAAAGTCAGATTCATGAAACTTGGTAGTTGTGTGTTTAGTTATAGGTCAGACATATCCGTGAAGTTTCTATAGAATGGTTTCACAGGTTTGAGTAATTGCTATACAACAATGAAAGGTGCAGGGTATAATTCAATCGGTTCATACCGACTGAAACGTTTTTACTTGTTATTTTTACTTTACGAACAAGAAATTTTCATTCATTCTTGAACTGTGTGAAAGTAAAGAATAACGAAAAATAAATACGGACGAGAAAATTTTGTATAACAAATTTAACAGTTTTTTTTTTAAATTGTTGTTATTATTATTTTTGTTTTCTTTTTTTTCTCAAAATTATTATTATAAATACGAAACTACATACAATTTAATTTTTAATTGTTTATTTAAATGTGCATGTGTATACACAGTGCTAATTTAGTATAACATTTAAATAATTTGAATATTAATTTAGTTACCTATTCCTTTTAAAAATAAAGTGTTAGAACGCATAGAGCGTGTCAAAAGCGAATAGCTATATTTAATTGTATTTCTATTTAAATGTCAATAATAATATAATTAAATAAATTAATAAAAAAAAAAGATGCCTAAATTATTAAAAAAATTTGTTAAAATATTTTTAATATTAATATTTAAATTAAATTTAATTAATTGTATTTTTACGATAAATGCAAGAGAACGTAATGAAATTAATGATTATTTTAAAAATATTGCTAATTATGGATTACATGATTATTTGGAACAAACAGTTATTGGAAGTAAGTATGCAAACCGATTACATATATATTATAAGTGTTAAGTGTAAAGTATATCCTAGTCAAATCGATAGAGCTTATCGGTTAGAATGCTAATTGAGACTTCCTAGCCTAGAGCTTCTTATACTTGCTTCTTTTAGATTTTTCCCCGGATCGTTAAATTACCTGATTAAATATTTACTAGTATGTAAGAGAACTTGTACACTACCGTGAATGGTTTAGTAAACAAAAAGTTAGAATTTACCACTCAAAATTTTGTTAGTTTAATTGTGAGTCTATAGAGTTGGAATTCTAGTGATACATTTTAGAGATCGGAAACAACATATCTTATAATGGGACTCATTTGAATCAGAATTTATAGACTCACATCAGGGACGTTCTAACTTTTTCTTAAATACTTTGAACTTAAATTATTAAAACTTAAGTTATTAAAACTTTTCTATATATTTTTATTTTATGTTAATGAAATTAAAAAAATTGTTAGAACGTACGTATATTTTAATACACGAGAGTAATTTTTTTATATAATTTGTATTATATATGAATAGTTTATAATTTTATTCTACTACACTACAATTTCTGTTATACTGATGCATTTGTACTGTTAGTTCTGTTGTATCAATTATGATAATACTATACTTAAAAAAGAAAAATTCAAAAACAAGTTCACTTTATAACTGAAAATATAACAGTATAACAGTTTTTTAAATAATTCATTGCAAAGTTTTAAATAAAAATTTAGTTCGAATGATTTTTTCAAAAATATTTTCATTTCAGCAGTAAAAAATTTTTTTTATTACCTATAAGTTATTGTGTAAGCTTAATTTTAATTAAATAATTAATTAATTATCATTTCAGATCCACAAATTTATTCCGAATATGATTTTATAATAATTGGAGGTGGTCCAGCTGGTTGTGTTCTAGCGAATCGTCTAAGTAAAAATCCCAAACAACTCGTATTATTAATTGAAGCTGGTGGTACAGAAAATTTCTTTCATCAAATACCAGCAATGGCTGCTTATTTTCAATCAACAGCATCAAATTGGGGTTACAGTTCAGAACCACAAAAGAATGCATGTTTTGGTATGCCCAAAAATAAATGCCTTTTACCACGAGGTAAAGTATTAGGTGGCACCAGTTCAATAAACTATATGATTTATAATCGTGGTAATAAAAAAGATTTTGATCGATGGGCTCAATTGGGTAATCCTGGTTGGTCGTATGCTGAAGTTTTACCATATTTTAAAAAATCTGAAAAAGCATATTTAAGAGGTGGTCTTGAAGATCAAGGATATCATAATTATTCAGGAAATTTAAATGTGGAATATAGTAATTTTAAGACAAACATGGTACATGCATTTGTTAAAGCAAGTAAAGAAATTGGTCATCCAGAAGTCGATTACAACGGTGAATCACAATTGGGTGTTTCATATGTTCAAACAACAACACATGAAGGTAGAAGAGCAAGTGCAGCGAAAACGTTTATAAACCCGATCCGAAATAGGAAAAATTTACATATTTTGAATTTTAGTAAAGTTACTAGAATAATAATTGATCCGGATTCAAAAGTTGCAACTGGAGTAGAATTTGTAAACAATAAAAAGCGTTTTGCTGTTAAAGTTCGAAAAGAAGTTATTTTATCAGCTGGTACATTTAATTCACCTCAAATATTAATGTTATCTGGTATAGGACCATCAGATAACTTAAACGCGATCGGTGTTCCAATAATAAAAGACCTCCCAGTCGGAAAAATTATGTATGATCATATGAGTCATTTTGGACCAACATTTATACTTAATAGTACGGGTAATACTGTAAGAACTGGTGATTTAGGTATAGATGAAATTGAAAATTATTTACATAAACGACCGTCATCTCTCTCCTTAATAGGTATAAATAATTTGAGTGAAATTTTTTCTTTTTCAATTTTAATTGTGTTTCAATTTTAAGGTGGTGTTGAAGCATTAGTTTTCTCAAAAATACCGAATTCCTCACAACCGGCTGATGTTCCTGATATTGAATACATTTTTGTTGCAGGCAGTTTCGCATCTGATGAAGGCACTGGCCTAAAACGTGGGGCTAATCTTAAAACAAAAATTTATAATAAAGTTTGGAAACCTTTAGTTGATATGAAAGAAGATCATTGTTCTGTTTTAATTATGGATTTTCATCCAAAATCAAAAGGACGTCTTTGGTTACATAATCGTGATCCATTTGAACCACCAAAAATTGATCCAAAATATTTTTCAAATCCTGAAGATATTGAACATCTTTTATATGGTGTTAAAGAAACTATTCGTATTTTTCAAGCACCAGCATTTCAAAAATTAGGTGCACGTTTATTAGATACTCCTATTCCTGGTTGTGAAAATTATAATTTCGGTTCTGATGATTATTGGCGTTGTTCAATTAAAACAGTATCACTTACATTACATCATCAAGTGGCAACATGTAAAATGGGACCAGAAAGTGATCCAACAACTGTTGTTAATCATGAATTAAAAGTACATGGAATAAGAGGATTACGAGTTGCTGATACTAGTATAGTACCAGAACCACCAACTGCACATACAAATGCTATGTCATTTATGATTGGTGAAAAAGCTGCCGATATGATAAAAGCTGAATGGAAACAGTGATATTAAATTATTTATAAAAATACGATATAGGATTAATGTTTTAGTTCATAGAAAAAAATATTGAATAAGTAGTATATTGAGATTAGTATGTACCATTGTATTGATAAATTAAAAGTATTAATTAAAAATTAATTGATAAGTTTAAAAATAATAATTTTTTTTATTATTTTGAATAAAATTTTCTATTCTGTCTTACACCTCTGTGTCAGAAATTGATATTTATACCGAAACAATTAATAAATTTAAGTACTACAGAATACTACAAAGCATCGGCACTTTATTTGCTCAATCCGTCTCATTTATTTTTTCTTTCTCAATTTGAAAAATTAAGTCAAACCTACAACAGTAATTTTATACGCAAAAAAATTACAAAATTTTACTTTGATTAAAATTGCATACATTTGGGCGAACATTGGATGATATTTTAGTATATCTATTGTACAGCTATGGTTTTGAAGCGAATTTGTAAATATTTCTTTTAAATACGAATTTTTAACAATGGTTTACAATTGGATGAATAATAAATTGTATGACGAATATTTCATAAAAATTTTGTGATTTCGCTCTAATTGTAAATTAAAATTCGATACTTGGTAATTTTTATAATATATTTAAATTTCGTTAGACAATTTGTCAAAATTTCAAAAAAAAAATAATTATTTTTGTTTCCTAAAAATTAACATTTCGCACAGTTTTTTAAGAATATAATTATTTTTGAGTAAAAACTTTATTTTTTTACTAACTTTAATATTTTTCAGGGATTTATTCACATTCAGAGACACAATTCGAAAAACAACAATTTTACTTGTCAAAGACACTCAGTCTTGTCAAAGACTCTCTTTATATTAGCTCCACTTTTTTCCTATTAAAACATATACGATTAACTATTCATATTTTATTGTACATCCATGGTGATATTTTTTAACCTTCCACGAAGATATTTTAGACGCATATAAATATGTTGATAATTTGAATTCCTTTCCTTTCATTTTACTCTCACTTGAACAAATATAGATTTGCAAAATCAAAATAACTTTTTTTCTTCTTACTCGTATTAATAGCGGAATTCAATATAGTCAGATCTAGATATTCTAGATAACAGTTTTTCACCTCCTGTAATTTTAAATTTTCTATTAAGACTCTAAGTATGATTGGATTATCATACTTATAGTCTTAATATAAAATGTTTGGATCTTAAAAAAATTGTATACAACACATACATATAAGTGTAAACATGAAATATTTTGGACAATTAAAAATTATTTAAATATTCAAAATTGATTATTAAAATCATATGCTTACCGTTAAGGGTACAACAAATTTTAAAATTATGTTTAACATACCTGAAAAAAAGAAAAAATTAATATTAGTTTAGTTTGATAAATAAATTTTTTACATGCAGATAAATTTAACAATGTAAATGTCATAGTGATTGGTAAAATATTTAAGAAATTTTCAATTGTGATTCTGACAATTTCTTCTTACTATATACAACTATAAGAATTCGCATTTAAATATGCCTTAAATTCTTGAATCTATATTAGAGAAGTTCACAAATTTAACGCATATTGAATTTTGTTCATGAACCAACTATCTTTTCAAGAGTCAACAACTTATTTAAATACATATATCATTCGTAATTAAGATAATCTGAGTCTATCTACATACAATTAAAATCTTCTCTTATATTATTAAAAGATAAAAAAAATCATGCTTAAAAAAAGTTATCAAATTTTAATTTAAGTGATTTAATTATTATTTAAATTGTGGTAATTAAAGAAAAACATTTTAGAAAATAAATTTTTATTTCCGAGAAAAAAAAATTAAAATAAAATAATTTTTAATTAGATATTTTCGAGGTTTCTAATACAACTATAAAACGTTCTAAGTCAATTTCGAACAATATTATGGAAATTATTATTTGTTATGATGAATGCCAGCTAAATATTACGTGTATTTTTTATTATTTGTCTCATACAAATATTTTAAAAGTTTGTTACAGTCATACAAAACATTTTAAAGAATTATTATGGGACAGTGTACTCAGAAAACTTGCTGTATACATTAAAGTATGAATACAACACTCAGAAAAATTATTAATTTGAAAACTAAGATTAAATTATTTTTTTGCGATAATTTTATTTATTCAGACAACTTTTACTGGTGCGAGTGTAAGTCAGTTGTGAACTTGGAACTGAAATGTTTTGAAAATTGGTTTTGTTATACAATCGAAATTTAACATATAGGCCTCTCAATAAGAGTTAACCCGTTGTGAACTTGTAAGTTAGATAATTTGAAAAGAGGTTTTATTATACATATATAATCGAAATTTTTCGCAGACCTCTAAATACTTCTCAGCTCGTTGAAAGATGGATATGAGTCACACAAAATTCTATGAATCATTCCGAAAAGAAGCTCGGTCTTTCTGGAGTTAAAACAATTTTCATTCATATGTTCATATCATATCAATTTTTTCTTCAATTCGGCAAGATTTAAAATTTTGCTCTTAAAACCTTTTAAATTAAAAATTCCTCAAAAATAATTTCGTAAAATTTTAAACCACCTTAATTGCCTTGTTTCAAAATAAATTTTTTTTAATAATTTATTTTATGTACTTAGGCAAATATATTACTAAATTACTTAAATATTTTTTAATTTTATATTACAAGTATTCTTAAGTATTTTAAGTAATTAAGTACCGGTCGAAATTAATTTCTTCTTCCTATTAAAATTTTCTTATTAACACATGATTAATATTTTAATGGATATAATATTGCAATTTTTTATTATTCTTATAGGTGCTTGTGCTTACATAATAAATAAGTATATTATGTAGTAAATTTGAATATTTTTGTACTAAAACATAACATATGTAGTTACAATCAGTGTATTTTATCATTGCTATCAAGAACAAGTTTAAAAAGTAGTTTTTTTTTTTTTAACATTTATGTAATACCATAAGCGAAAAAAAAATAAACAAACATTTTATTCAATGTCAAAACTAAACAGACGAAAAGATGACTTAAATAATAATTTTTTTTTTTAATTTTAAGATTCTAAAAGTACTTATAACTTAATTTTGAAAATATATAACAAAAAGTGTGCGTTGTGTAGTTTCTCAAACATTTTGAGAATTGTTGTACATAATTTTACCTACTGAGCAACAACGGCAACACAACCTAATTTTAAAATTATAAAAAATCGCAATATTACAGAAAAAGTTTAAATAGCTAGATGTTATTATGAATCCTAGTGCGCATTTATACTCTCAAAGTAGGATTATCGAAAAGTTCGAAAAAACTCTCAAGTATAATAAAATTAATTATTAGAAATGATAACCACGTTGGAAAACGCACTCCCTTCTGAGGTCACCACTATACATATTTAAAGAAGGTCTTTTATTTACCCCTTGTAAATCATTTAGGAAGAAGGCCAAATACGAATGCTCGCCTCTCTCAACTGCGGAAAAGGTACAGGCAAACCCAGAGACCACTTGAGAAAAAAAAATTAAATATAAACAAAGTTCAAGTAATTTACCCCTTGCTTGAACTTTGTTCGGAATACTGACAAACATAACACATTATTGATTAAAGTAATTTTGCGTATCCTCAAAAGGGAATTTCTTCAGATAAATGAAAAGATTAAATCAAATAAAAAAAGAACAATCAGAAAAAATTTAATGAATTTACATGAATTTCTTAACAAAGAAACCAGTAGGGAAACCAAAATTACAAATGAAATATTGATCTTTAATCAAAAAAATAACACCAAAAAATCATACCAAACTAGTTTAGGGAGCATTAAACCTCATTTCAAAACTTCGCATGATTTTTCGTTTTTTTTTTTGTTAGCAACTGAGACCAAAATAGAAAATTTACATTTAGCTTGAATAAACATCATTAATAAAAAAAAAAGAATGATTTGAAAAAACCCGGTTTTATATTGGCAAAATTTAGAATACAAAAGGTTACCGTGAAGATGCCCGTAAAAATGTTATTAAAGTAAGTTAAAAATTAATTTGAGAAAATTTTTTATTTCATTTAAATTTAGACTTTTAAGGAGTTCACACGTTTATTTTGTTTGAGTTTTATTTCATTCTTAATTTTAAATTTAATTTTCATAATGAATATGAGAATTACTTTTTTCATTTTATTAATTTCATTAATAATAAATGAAATTTCGGCAATAAATGGAGTATACGATCAAATCCGTACAATGGTTGGATCAATTTTTAATAAAATTTTACCATATGGATTTGAGGGTTATTTCAATATGATGCAGGATAACTCAAGAGGTAAGGGGGCTTATTAAAGCGAAGATTTATTTTGTGTCAAAAAATGTTTTAAACATTTGTCTTCTTCATAGATCCACAAATCATTTTACCACAATATGATTTTATAATAGTCGGTGGCGGAACAGCTGGTTGTGTTTTAGCAAATCGTCTTAGTGAAAATTCAAATTGGAAAATTTTATTAATTGAAGCTGGTGGAAAAGAAGGTATTGTACATCAAATACCATTAGCTGTAGCAAATCTTCAATCAACTTCATCGAATTGGGGTTATAAAACAATACCACAAAAATATTCATGTTTTGGTATGAATAATCGAGAATGTGAAATGCCGCGTGGTAAAGTACTAGGAGGTAGTTCATCAATTAATTATATGATATATAATCGTGGACATAAACGTGATTTTGATCGTTGGGCAGAATCTGGTAATCCTGGTTGGTCATATAATGATGTACTACCATATTTTAAAAAATCAGAAAATTCTAATCTTCAAAGTGCAGGTCTAGAAGACACTCAATATCATGGTCATAATGGACCGTTAAATGTTGAATATTTAAATTATAAAACTGATATGGTTAAATCATTTATTGATGCATTAAAAGAAACTGGATTAAATGAAACTGATTATAATGGTGAATCACAATTAGGTGTTTCATATGTTCAAGCGACAACATTAAGAGGACAAAGACAGAGTGCATATCGAACATATATTTATCCATATAAAAATCGTAAAAATCTTCATATTAGAATTTATAGTAGAGTAACGAAAATTTTAATTGATCCAAAGAGTAAAATTGCATATGGTGTTAATTTTGTTTTAAATAATAAAAAATATTCAGTTAAAGCAAAAAATGAAATTATTTTATCAGCTGGTGCATTCAGTTCACCACAATTATTAATGTTATCGGGTGTTGGTCCATCAAAACATTTAAAACAAATGAATATTACAGTTATTAAAGATTTACCAGTTGGTGAACGAATGTATGATCATGTTAGCCATCTTGGTATAACATTCATTACAAATACATCAAAACAAACCCCATATGCCAGTAATATTGGACTCGATGAAATATATGATTTTATAAATGGTAAAGGTCCATTAACAATAATTGGTGGAGTTGAAGCTCTTGCATTTATTAAAGTACCAAATTCAAGAGAGCCAGCTGATTATCCAGATATAGAATTAATATTTTCAGCTGGTGGTTTTGCAAGTGATGGTGGTACTGCTTTAAAAGCTGGTGTTAATTTACGTGATGATATTTATAATAAACTTTATCGAAAATTTGAATATACACAAAAAGATCATTTTACTATTATTTTAATGTTATTTCATCCAAAATCATATGGTAATGTTAGACTTGCAAATCGTAATCCATTTTCACCACCAATTTTAAATCCAAATTTTTATGAGAATCCAGATGATATTGAAACAATGTTAAAAGCAACAAAATTCGTTTTAAAATTAATGAATACTGAAGCAATGAGAAAAATTGGAGTAACATTAAATAATGAAATATTACCAGGTTGTGAAAATTATTTATATGGATCGGATGAGTATTGGAAATGTTCAATACGAACCCTATCTGATACATTACATCATCAAGTGGCAACATGTAAAATGGGTCCAGAAAATGATTTCACAACTGTTGTTAATCATGAATTAAAAGTACATGGTATTAAAAAATTAAGGGTTGTTGATGTGAGTATTATACCATATGCACCAACTGCTCATACAAATGCAGCAGCTTTTATGATAGGTGAAAAAGCTGCTGATATGATTAAATCAGAATGTATAAGATAATCATAATATTTTATTAATTAGAATGTACAAATTATGTTTATTGTTAGAATATTTAAAAATTTCAAAATTTAATGATTAAATTATTGTAAAAATATGGTTGTCAAAGCAAAAATGGTGATACCTAAAATTATTGTTTTTCTTTATATTTTAAATACAAATAAGAATTTCTATTTTCAATGTCCGCACAAAACTTAAAAAAAATTTCTTGCTAATATTCTTTGATCCTTTATGAAATTAGGATGTCTTAGTTAAGTTACGCATTAAAGGAACCAAAATAGTAGACTTGTATTTACATATAATAGTATTTACATATCATAAAATAGCAGTGAAAATTTGGTAAGAATACAATTAGATGGATTCACAGACAAGGCTAAACCGACTCAAGAATTCGGAACAGAGCAAGATTAAAAATATTTATACTTGGAGACTACATTACATTCAAGCGAAGTTAATTTGTTGCTTTCTCTTGACAAAAACAAAAAAATTCAAAAAAATCAAAGTCCTGCCCATTCATCTACACTCGGAGGAAAAGCTTTAATTTAACTCCTCAATTCAGACCCTTTCAATTTTATCTTTTTTGATTTATATTAAATTTGTTACACCAAACACTTCTACCTAGAGAGATTAAAAAACAAAGATATTATCACTTGATTTTTGACTTAATTTACATACCATACCGAAAACAATTTTTCACAATTTTATTAAACACTCCTTCTTTCTTTTTTAAGAAAAACTTAGTAATGATACTTTCTACATATGGCCCTCATTTGATACAAATACAATAAAATCCTATATACTGAAATTTCATCTTTAATATTCCATAGGAAAATGCAAATACAAATTCCAACATTTATTCAAACATTAACAATTATCTGATATCAATTAGTTTCGCATAAGTATACGATAAATATATATATATATATTCAATAAAAAATGCAATCTCTTAAAAAGGATATGTAATTTTTGAATTCAAAAGGATTCAAGTTAAAATAATTTGAAAATATTGAATGATTAATCTATTGAATGACAACCCTATATTATGTTTGAAGAATCAAAATTTTTTTGTTGAAAACAAAACCTTTTTCAACTCTTATATTTAATTGTACCTTACTTTTATATTAAAAATTTGAATGCATCATTCAAAATAGCAATGAAAATTTTCTATTATATAACAGAAGAGAAAGAAATTTATTTTCCTCTCTTTTTTCCAAAAATTTTCTAAATATTCAAACTTTATTTATTTATTGTTAAATAAAGGGAATTTTATGTTTTCAAACTGATAAAAAATTTAAATATAGCGTTACTAAGCGTATACCAGATATACATACGTACACTTTGAATTATTACAATCAACGTTACAATTTTGAAATGTACAAGGATTAGACAATGGTTTGTATTCTGTTTACCACAAAATGTTTTTCAATACTTATAATATACACATACATATATGTGCATAAAAAGGTTAATTTCAATGGGTATTATACAAATGGACGCGCATACATGCATAATATAGAAGCACAAAACATATTATTAAATTTCTCACCCCAATCTACAACTCATTCCTAATTCCTAACTCATCATTGTCATAAAGATTTCGATTTTATTTTAATTTTTGTTTTCATTCATTTTCAATTCCATAACCTAAAGTTGAACAAAATAAATCCTGAAAAAACTGAAATACAATGTAGAAGTATTACCAAATTCTATATATATGTATATATAAAACAACATACTTCAAATATTGTAACAGTATATATAGCAAAAAAAATAATAATCATTTAATCAAAAACCAAAAGGAGTGGCAGTTTAGAAGCAATGACAACAAGGAACTCATACATATAATATTATAAATAATCACCAAATGAAATTTTTTTCTAAATATTTAACACAATATTGTTAATGTCATGTACACATTATGATGGTATGACGCACAAAATATCCTCAGGTGATGAATTTGAAAAACAAAAAATAAAACATATAATACAAGTATATATACATATTTTAGGTATTTAAGTACATATATATACATTGCGTGTAAATTATAGGAGGCATTGTAGTGCTATAATGTAGTCAACAATATAATGAATATTCTAAAGGAAAATTCAAAACAAAAAAAAATATTTACGAAATTGAAATATTTATTCTTAAAGGACATTCAATATTGTGCACATATACATTATATATAATCTACCTCATTCACCAGTTCACATGAGCCCACACGTAAACACAATTATATATATACATATGTATATGTATAACCTAGATGTCTAAATATTTTCAATTTATTATGTTTGCTTAAAAGGATTTCTCGTTGATTTGTTCGAACAACCGGCACCATTATCTCATGAAAATTTTTTGTGATTGTTAGTCAGACTCGGTTCAACTGTTAAAGCCACCATATTGTCTTCTGATATTATTTTTAGAAAAAAAACTTCTGATATTATTTTTAGAAATGTTTTCTAATTCCCAAAACTCAAGCGATCTATCTTGCTTTTTTGAGCTAGTTATTCACAACGTGACGGACAACCGCTTGATTATGTATTAATGAGTAATCTTAGTATATGTATGCGAACCCGAACGAACCAAATTACGAATATTCTCACGAAAATCATGTTATAGTTGTCACAAATGTGAGCATCTTCCTTCATCTAAAATTATTGGTAATAGTAAATGTTGTCTTTGCATTTTTATAATCGCGATTATTTTATACTTTAATAACCTAAATTGAATTCTAATAAATTAGAAATGTCTTATACTTTGAGAAACACTGTTCCTAAAATCTTATAGCATACTATTTTTTTTTTAATAATGTAAATTTCATAGGAGTTTAAGGAACAAAATGTATTCATATTTTATACAATTTGTATTGTTACAATATTACATATAAAATTACTTTGAATATTATTTATTATTCATGAAATGTAAATGAAACTATTCGTGATATGTAAAAAAATAATATAATATCTTAAGGTATGTATGTCCATATATTTGGGGATTAATAAGAAGTTAATCTAAAAAGATTCCAATTAGTCAAAATTGGGAAAACTAAGAAAATTAATTATTTAATTTATATCTTTAAGCACTTACATATTATAACCACATGCATTCATATATAGATATACAAAAAGATCAACGATAATATAATGAAAACGAAAGCTAAAATAATTGAATTATTAAAGACCTAAAAATCAACATTTTTCATCAACCAAAAATATCATCATCAAAAATATTAATTTCAACAAAAAATTTAATTAACTATTTCTGAGATAAATTTCATATTTAAATTATCATGTTAATGAAATTTCAAGCTACTATAGCTATTTTTGACAATGCACTAGACACCAAGTTTTTGGTTACTCCTTTCGAATTCTAGTGGCTATTATGTCACGAATAACAGCACGTTTCATAACGTCCTTCAAGTGCTTTTTATGATTATGTATTATAACAATGTATTTATCATAAATGCCAAAAATTGAGCACAATTTTACACCTCACTTGACAGTTGACATTTTCGTTAAATTTATCTCAGCAATTTTTAAAAGTTTGACTTACTCAAACGAAAGCATTCTAACTATATTGTATAATGATGTACAACAATATTGTATAATGATGCTATATTATAAGGAAGGTATTGTAATCGCACTAAATCTTGAATGTAAAATTTTCAACAAGAATTCACTGCTCAATGTTAGAAAAATACAAAAAAAGAAAAGTATTTTTAGAGGGATGTCTATACGTCAGTGTCTGTTAGTGCACTCTATATCTATCGTAGTTTAAGTCGAACTAATTTTACATAAAAATTTATAAATGATAAATATTGCTCTTTAGGCGTAATAGAGAAGTTTTGTGGTGGCCAATTTTAGATTTTTGACTAAATAATAAATATTTAACGAATTTGTAGAGGGATTGTTGTAAAACCCCTCTCATATTGTAGATTTCATCTGCAAACATCCACTTATTTATTTCTAAGGGTATCTTAAATTATTGTCTACTAATATTGAAATTCATATAGTAAGTGTGCATAATACACTTTAACAAATCAGCGCGTAATTCAGAAATTCCATGCATTAGAATTATTAGAAAAGCATGTTAAGGCAATTAATCATACGTTGATACATATCAAAATTTTTTATATTGTTTTGATTATATACATATATACAAGAAATATAATTAGTTTGTACCCCAAATATATATTTACCTCAATTTTATTTTTATCTATAAGCAGCTAAGAGATTTTTAAAATTTTGTTGATAGCAAATATTTTTAACTTCCCACATTATTTTATTATTTCACATACTTATTTTGTTCATAATATAAATATACTTGTATGTGTGCAATGTTTTTTTTTTGAGAATAATAAGAGACCGACTTCATTTGATATTTTATTCAAAAAAAAAATATTTGTAAAAACATCAAAGAACGCACAGAATATTTTGTTTTACATATACATACGTATATATATATTTATACAAATTATAATAAGTACACAAATTAACATATACACATCATTCCATACATATAAGAACACACCCATAATCTCATATATTTTCTAATATTAAAGTTGAATCCTCATCATTTTCCCCTTTTATCATTTTTCTTTTATACAATTTCTGTATTTTATAATAGTTACATTGATATGTATAATTGTATAAAATTTTCTATTTTATAACATAATGTACATAAGTATTTGCATAATATCCACAATATACAAATATACATATATATACATATATGTATGTATAGGATTGTGTATTTAAATGCAAATACTTAAAAAATAAGTATGTAAGTGCACTAACAAACGGCATTAAAAGAAACAATTGTATACACAAGTATATAACGTGTAATATAAAATTAAAAAAAAAGGATATTCAAAGATATATTTTTGTATAATATACGTACATGTGTGTATGTGTGTATATTTGGGTTCAAAAAATTCCTTTAGGGAAAAAAAAATATACCGTTTTCTTTTTAATAAAGCGAATGACCTTTTCATCCGCTTT